CCACCAGTCCCGGTAGACCCTCGCTTCCCTACGCCCCACAGGCTTCTGACCCTTCGGGGACTGCTCCGCGAGCTTCCGGGAGCGGTCCCCCGCCAGCCAGACCTCCCGAGTCCCGGCAGTGGCAGGGAGAGTCCCCTACCCTCTCAAGACCGGCACCCGCACTACCCGCCCCGCCACGCCCCGCCCCTAGCGTCCCGCGCCCGCGGGGTCCCCGCTGCGCCCGCCGTCCCGAGCAAGCGTCAGGAGGCCCCTCCGGGCTTCCGTCCGCCTGGCCAGTGCTCGTAGAGCCCGGCGTCCTCCCCAGCGGACGGGCAAGGGGCGGGAGCCCGCGGCCCCGCGGCCCCGCGCCCCGCGGCCCTAAGCAAAGCAGCACCTAGCCAGTCAGTCTCGCCGCCACCACAAGCCGCGGCCTACAAAGCCCACCGCCCACCGCCTGACACGGCCAGCCCGCGCTCGCCGGCGCCAGCTCACGCCCGCTCCTCACCTGCGACGCGCCCCGGCCCCCGGCACACCACCCGGACCCGCTGTGTACACCGGAAGTGACGTCTCCAGACCGGCCCCGCCCCCGCCCCGGGACGGATCACCGGGCTGGAGCCGACCCTCCCTCCTCACCAGCGAGACGGGGTGCCCCAGAGCGTCATCCTTGGGGGACCCAGGAGGGACCTGCTGGGGGAACCTGTATGGACGTTGAGATCTGGCACCCAGAGACCCCAAGGCCACCCTGCGCCTCCCCGGTGTGACTTGGCCTCTGGGCCGGAGGGGTCCTCAATGGATTTATTATTGAAATTGATGACTGAAACACCGAGTGCAAGTTGCTAGGCCCAGAAAGACTAGGAACCAGATAGCACTCTTACCCGCAAAAGGTTTATTCTCTAGTGGTGGAAACCGAAGAGAGCTGTGACAAATCTCTGTGATAATATAGTGCCAATTGTGACAAGTGGTAGGAGTGAAAAGTGAAAGACTGAGGAGAGAGTATCTTGACCTAGTGGAGGATGATGATTAGGGAATTCTCCAAGGAAAAGAAAGAGCAGGAGCTGAGATCGTATAAGAAGGAAAAAAAGAAAAACCAAAAAATACTGAGGAAAAAGACATGAGATTACAACAGAAGAAACCGCAGGTGTTTTTGTCTTTAACTGCTTTGTGTTTTAACAAGCCAGGGCCAAAAAATAAATAAATAAACAAACTGGGTCAGGGTGCTGAGAAATTAGATTTTATCTAAGAGCATTGTAAACCTGATGAATTTTAGGCAGGGAATGATTTGACCACATTTAGGGATATAAAGTGATTAATTTGACTGTATCGTGAAGAACTGGGAGAGGGGAGGCAAGAGTGGATATGTGAGGCTGGGGGTGCAGCTTAATGGTAGAATACTTACCTAGCATACTTGAGGCCCTGAGTTAGATCCCCACCACCAGAGAAGGAAGGGGAGAGGAAAAAGAGAGAAAGTAAAAGAGAAGGGGGGAGGAGAAAAAGGGAGAGAAAAAGAAGGAAGGGAAGTGGCTGGATGTGTATGTAATCCCAGTATTTCAGGCAGTTGAGGCAGGAGGATCACAAGTTGGAGCCCAGCCTAGACAAGGTAGTGATTTAGGGAGAAAAACCAGTGAATATACATTTGAGTATTCATGTTCATAGTAGCATTCATGATAGCCGAAGTGCAGAAACACCTTAGGGCCCATCCAAACAAAAATACAAAATGGAGGGGAGTTGGCTGGGAATGTAGCTCAATAGCAATGGCCCTGGCTTCAATTCCTAGTAACACCTTACCCCTCTAAGCCAGCCAATATACAGAAGTTCTAGTATTTTCTTCCTATATCCCAATCAATTACCTTCTCAGTCTATAGTATGCAAACCTCACTTTGAAGGCCACTCACAGACTATGGTAGAGACAATGGAGATGGAGAAAATTGGCCAAACTTGTGGAAATTTTTAGAATAAAATTGATGCAAGCCAATGGTGAAATCCTGGGTCTTAGGAAATAAATCAATGTAATGGTGACACTCACGGGATGGTGAGAATGTCCTGAGGAAGATATTTGGGAGGGTGGAAGACAAAAAAAAAAGGACATGAATTTCATTATGAAATCAAGACCGGTGTGGTGGGACACATCTGTAATCTCAGTACTCAGGCTAAAACAGGAGGATTTCTAGGAGTTCGAGGCCAGCCTAGAGTACCTAGTAGTTCAAAACCAGTTAAAATTACATAGTGAAACCCTGTCTCAAAACAAACAAAAAAAGTTAAGGAAGCCCTTGGGGATGAAGCTTTAGAGCTCAGGAGAGAAATCTGGAAGTAATGTCATTATAGATTGAGATGAGGCTTTTGTGTGTGTGTGTGTGTGTGTGTGTGTGTTCATGGTGGAAACCTTAAAATATGTCTCAGAAGAGCTGGTGGAGAGAAAGAAGCTAAGGAAACCAAGAAAAGATGATCTAATTCATCTTGTGAGGTTCTACAAAGACTAGAGGGAAAGAATCTGAAATGTACAGTGGTAGGTTTCTGCACTTAAGTGCTTTTTTTGGGTAGTGGTGTGAGGACAGTGGAAAAGCTCTGAAAGCAGACAGGTGAGTGGACAGGAGAAACAAGGTAGAGTTCTCACTAGCACTGAGGCTCCATTGCAGGTTGGTAGCCATTACTTAGGAGTGGAACCTTTGGGCTGGGGATTTAGCTCAGCAGCATAAGCACCTGCCTGGCAAGCGCGAGGTCCTGAGTTCAATCCCCAGTACCACAAAAAAGAAAAAGAGTGGAACCTTTCTTCCTGCGAGTGACTTGTTACACACAGTAGCTGTCAGCTGAGAGTGAAGAAAGTAGAGCAAAGATTGGTCAGGGCTTGGGTTGAGTAACAGGGGCAAGAGTGTTACATCATGAGATCATGGGCTATGAAATCACATATGTGTATGGGAAGGATGTGAAGTAAAAACGTGGGCTTTAGAGGAAGTGTTCCTGGGTATTTGTGTACTTAGTTGCCTATGTAGGCTGGGAAAGGGGCCAAGGATGATAGTGGAAGGCTTCCAAGGGCCAGCTGTGACTCTTGTAAGCTCAAAATGAGCCCATGTCTTTACATAGGCCCTTTGAGCTCTTACTACAGGGCCCGGGAGCTGCTGGGCCTTGCTACAGAATCCTCCAGTGACAATACCCACAAAACCTCAGTTGAAACTTTTTTGTGTGATATGATTTAAAGCCAGAACCTTATAAATGCTAAGCTCACACTCGACCACTGAGCTACATCCCCAGGCCCCTTTTTATCTTTTTTTTTTGAAATAGGGTCTCTCCTAGTTCCTCAGGCTAGGCTCAAACTTGTGATCCTTCTCCTGCCTCAGCCTTCCAGAGCACTGAGATTACAGGCTTGTGCCACAAGTGCTAGTTCTGGCTGCAACTTTAAAGTAGCCTTTTCCCCATGTGGTAGGTTTGGACTCATTTCCTCAGTCACTGCTGCTACCTCCATGCAAAGTCCATGAGCCCACAAAAATATGATCAAAATCACTTGTGCAAGCCAAGTTTGGTGGCACATGCCTGTAATCCCAGCATTTGAAGGCTGAGGCAAGAGGACTATGAGTTCAAGAACAGCCTGGATTACAAAGTAAGCTCAAGGCCAGCCTGAACGTCATAGTGAGACCCTGTCTTAAAAAGACAACAAAAGCAAAAACAAAAACAAACCCCTACTTGTGCCTTCACCATGGAAAACCAATCTATAGGCTTCAATCCAGGGTTGTGAGAGGACCTGGAGACTCACTCAATCACACATGAAGTTTTGAGTTCAAGAGCTGGGGATTTAGCTCAGCAGCATAAGTGCCTGCCTTACAAGCATGTGGTTGTGAGTTCAATCCCTGGTACTGGTAAAAAAAAAAAAAAAAAGTAAGGCTTTGAGTTCAGCGTGAACCCTGCCAAACTTGGGATCCCCTTAATGGTCTCTGTAGCTCTCTCAAGCTTACTTGTTAATATTTTGTACTGTGGGTCTGTTGTATCTTGTGAGACTATTTACAGATATGACACTCTTGCTTCACAGGTTTGTTTTCATTTTTCAAACACACGCACACACACATGGAAAGGGAAACAAAAAAATACCATATACCCCCCACAAAGATTTGAGACATTGGTTACTTCCTTTGTGTCAAAGTGCTCATAAAATAGTATGGGGCCCATAGATCTAGAAATAGAGTTCAGATCCTCCTGAAATGCACACATGTTCAAGGACAGGAGTTTCAATCCTCCTGCTCTGCAGAGAGGTCTGTATCTAAAGCCTCAACATACATATAGGGATAGAAGGGAGCCTCAGTTTACCATTGAGGAGGCCACAGCTAGGGAATGGCTCTCTGCCTGAATTTACTGTGAATCTGGATAGAGACAGAATTAGAATCAGATTCTGTGAAAAGGCCAAGAGCCTATGAGATGGTTGTCTTTGAGAAGTGAGCAGAAGGCTTCAGAAACTCCTCAGTGACTCAAGGCCTAGAATGGATCAGACTTACATTAGTGAAAAGTACCTCAGAGATGCCTCTTGATATTGGCAGGGGATGTCCTCTTCTAGAAAGAAAGAAAGAAAGAAAGAAAGAAAGAAAGAAAGAAAGAAAGAAAGAAAGATAAAGGAAGGAAGAGAAAGAAAGAGCACAAAAGACTTGTTACAGCTGACTTTTATGATGTCTTCACATTTCCAAAAATGTGGTTTTTTAAATGCAGTGCAGTACTACTATGTCATAAATAAGCTTGAGACATTTCTAGTTAAATGAATGTACCTTGAGCCTATAATCTTAAGTGAAATAAATGAGACACCCAGGAAAAATATCTGTTATCAAAAAATCAAGCAAAAACAAATGCTGGAGGGGCTGTGGGGAAAAAGAAACCCTTTTCCACTATTGGTGGGAATGCAGACTAATGTAACCACTGTGGAAGTCAGTATGAAGATTCCTCAAAAAACTACAACTAGAGATCCCATTTGACCCAGCTATTCTCCTTCTGGGAATCTTCCCAAAAGAATTAAAAATCCATACCACAGTGATATATGTGCACTCATGTTTACAGCAGAATAATTCGGTTTATTTTTATTCTAAAGAGAATAAAACCCAACCAAACAAAATAGGGTACAGCCAATCCAAACAAAGCAGTGAGAGTGGTACAGAACTTCAAAGCAGGAGGGCTGGAGGTTTAGCTCAGCTGCATAAGCGCCTGCCTTGCAAGCCAGCAGTCATGAGTTCGATCCCTGGTACCGATAAAAAGGAAAAAGACAAAAACAACAACAAAAAAAGAACTTTAAAGCAGAATAATAGGAAATCAACGATGGCTACCATAATATATCTTGCTCTTTTCACAATAGTTGTCCATGCCATCAGACATAGTAAAGTCAAATAAAACAAAACAGTGTAAAAACAATCAAAATAGAACATTGAGTAAAACAAAACAATAAATCAGAACAAAACAAAGCAGTGACAACAGTATTGGATTTCGAAAACATGATAGAAGACATCCTCTATATTTGCTATATTCCATACTGTTATCCTCCCAGTAGATGCTCAGACTATTGGCCTTAGGCCAATCATACAATACAAGCATTTAGCTGTTTTTGTACCTTAGTTGCTATCAACTCACCCTGTTCTCTGAATCAGCTGGTTGCTTAGGGATGGGAGTTCTTCACTCTCAGCCCACATGCTGGCGGGCTCACAGGGAAGGAGATCTGGCTTCTCTCTTCCTGGCCCTCAATGGTTTGTATAGCCTAATGAAGGGCGAACTGGATTGTTAATGTGGTCCTCCCTGACCCAGCATGACTTCTGCTGATTCATTTGAGGGAAAAACTGGCTTCTGTCTTCCTGGGCCCTGTATGCTTTCCATGGCTTACTGGAAGGGTAACAGAATAATTTGTAATAACTAGATCTTGGAAATAACCTAAATGCCCACTGACTGAGGAATGGATAAAAAAGGTGTGGTATTTTTACATATCGGAGTACTACTCAGCCACAAAGAAGAATAAACTGGAGACTTTTATAGGTAAATGGATGCAACTTGAGACCATACTCATAAATGAAACAAATAAGACACATGTGTATAAATATTGTATTGTCTTGCCAGTGTGAGAAGCTGAAACAATATATATAAATATATATATGCATGTAAAAAAGTTAAGATAGTTATACTAATTTTTTTGAGTTCACTGAAGAGAAAGATTTGTGCTGCTATTGTTTGGACAACTGAATGCAGATGTCTTGTGCTCTGGGTGAATGATTTGGGGAAGACAATGCACAATGTATATACTATTGTTGCTCCCGATTGACATGTTTTGAAATTTTCTTTTTTTTTTTTTTTTTTCTCCTTGAAATAAAATGAATTTAGGGGCTGGGGATTTAGCTCAGCAGCTTATTACCTACCTTGCAAGCGCGGGGTTGTGAGTTTGATCCTTGGTACTGATAAAAAAAAATAAAATGAATTTAGAAAAAATAATTCTTTGGTGTGAGAAACTGATAGTTGAGTCCCCTAGCCGATAACCAGATAACATCCTGGATTAATTCCGAGCTTTTTCCTCTCCTGAGACGTCTTTGTTGCCAGCCGCCTGCACTCAGCATTGGCCAGATTGATTTCAGGTGAGCACTCCCCGGGGAACTTTTGGCACTGGGCAACCCCAGTCGACTGTTCTCCCCGTTCACGTGGCTCTGTGCATTTTCACGTCCTTAGGACAGTCCAGGGCAAGGATCTTTCTAGGCAAACCTGGGTCCACACTCTATAAAATCTCTCACGTTCTTTGGGTTCGGATAGCCCAAAGCAGAGATTTTTGGACCACCCACACTGAAAGGACCACCTTACTTCCCTTAAAGCCTCATGCTTTCACGGGCAAAACTGTTCTGACCCCACATGGGCTCCACTCGTAAAACTCTCAGTGACGACTGTAATATACGAGTTTTTGGAACCATAGCCACTGCGTGGTGCCCCAAATGAGTGACAGCTTGTTCTGGACCACAGCTTATTTCTTGCCTGAATCAGTCATGGGAAATGTATTTTCTAACTCCCAAAAGATGCCTTTACAATGCCTAATTTCCAATTTATGTACTCTAAAAATTAAAAGTACCATAAAAACTAAACAATTAACTTTTTGCTGCCAGGAGCTCTGGCCAACCTACCCGCTTATCGGCAAGTGTTGGCCCAAGGAAGGAACATTTGACCCCTGCATTCTCAGAAAACTGTATGATTTCTGTCAGGCTGGTGACAAGTTATTAGAACTCCCTTATATTCAGGCCTTCCTTATTCAGAGAACACGCCCATCTCTCATTAAGTCTTGTGCTCCTGCTCAGATACTTTTAGCTAACTCTACTGTGCTGCAAACTTTTCCATCCTGCCCTCCGGTGTTTTCCCAGCTGCCGCCTGCCTACCCCCAAACTTGTTCCCTGCCATTACCTCCCGCCAGACCGCCCTCCCCTCCCCCCATACCTGATTCTCTCAGCAGTCTTGGTCCCAATGAGTCACAGTTACCTCCCGCTGTGCGATCCTCTTCCCCTCTGTCTCCCAGGATCCATAACTCTCCCAGCAGCTCTAATCCCTCTGTGTCGCAGTTATCTCCCGCTGTGCGATCATCTCCTTTTCCGCCTTCCGGGACCCATAATTCTCCCGGCAACTCTAATCACTCTGTTAGCACTTCCTCAAAGTCTCCCATTTCTTGTTCTCCTGAGAATTCTCTATCCCCTACAGCATTCTCACCGCCTGCCCATCATACTGGGTCTCGGTCGCCATGTCCTTCCAGCAGGCCGTGTGATTGTTCCAGCTTGCGCTGGGAACAGTCGCCATGTTGCAACCCTCTGCCACGTGACATGGCGCTGCCATGTTCAGGAGGGTCACATGGCAACAGGGTGCTGCCATGTTCCCAGGACCCTCACTTGTCAATGGGCGCCCCCTTGTGGCTCCTCTTGTGAACTGCAACAGCTGCCCTGTTGCAGTGCACATGATGCTTCATTGTGCTGCCCACAGCAGTCCTCTTGCTGCAAGGCACACAGTGAGACGCCATCTGCCTGTGTTTCCCAGGGTGACCAGCAGCAGCTCTGTAGCTGCTCTACAGATGATTGCTCACACGCGTCTACTGGACGGATGGCTGCCCAATGGCCCTCTGCTCTGGAATCTTCTCCTCAGGCTCTGCTACCACTTCGGGAGCAAGCGGGCCCCGAGGGACTTGTTAACATCCATGTGCCTTTTTCCCTTTCTGATCTATCCCAGATTGCCCATAAATTAGGTAGCTTCTCTGTTGACCCACAGAATTATATCAGGCAATTTGAATTCATTACTAATTGTTATGATTTACATTTTAAGGATGTTTATGTGATTTTAAATACCATCCTTAGCTCACAAGAGCGAAATCAGCTGTAGCAGGCAGCTCAAGAAGAAGCTGATCACAGGCATAGAGCGAACACCACTGAAAATGACCCTGGGCCTGTAGCTGTGCCAGACCAAGAACCTGACTGGAACTATCAGAATGGACAAGGTTCAAAAAATTACATAAGGGGCTGGAGATTTAGCTCAGCGGCATAAGCACCTGCCTTGCAAGCAGGCAGTCGTGAGTTCAATCCCTGGTACCGATAAAAATGAAAAAGACAAAAAAAAAATTACATAAGATGATTGAGTGTCTGATTGTGGGCCTTAATAAGATTGCTCACAAGCATACTAACTACAACAAGCTTTTAGAACAGGTCCAGGAGGCTAACGAAAACCCTGCTGTGTTTTTAAATCGGCTTCGGGAAATCTTAATCAAGTATACTAATGTAAACCCAGACTCTCATGAAGGGATGATTGTTGTTAACTCTTCTTTTATTTCACAGTCTGCTCCTGATATTCGTGCAAAATTACAAAAGGTTGAACATGGCCCTCAAACTCCACAAGGGGATCTATTAAATTAGCCTTCTGTGTATTCAACAATAGAGATAAGGTTCAAAAGGAGGAAAAACAAGCTCAAAAATTAAAGTTTGCTAAATATCAGTCTGACCTCTTAGCAGTGGCACTCAGAGCTCCCAAGACAAAAAATCCGCAACAAGGTGTGGCTGCCCGAGTCCTGCCCAGACCGTGCTTAAAGTGCAGCAAACAAGGACACTGGGCAAAAGATTGCCCTAACCCTGGTATTCCTCCAGGACCTTGTCCATACTGCAACCTTAAAGGGCATTGGAAGAGTGACTATCCTAGCCGCCAACGAGTGGGTAAACCATCCTCTAATCCCTCGCCCTCACAGGAGACTCTGTCAATGCCAGATTCGTGGCTGACTGACCTGCTTGGACTTGCTGCAGAAGATTGACGGGGCTCGGGGCTCACAGCCCCCACTCCGGTAACCTTGTCGGAGCCCGAGTCTCACTGGAAGTCTCAGGTAAGATAATATCTCTGCTTGTGGATACGGGGGCGACTTATAGTGTACTTCCTGAATTCTCAGGACCTTGTAGTAAATCCTTGATTTCTGTTGCGGGCGTTGATGGCCAGCCTAATCAACCTTTGCAGACTGGGCCTATCCTGTGTAGATTCCAGACTCTTTTTTTTTTTTTTTACCCATAGCTTCCTAGTAATCCCAACATGTTCCACACCCCTTTTAGGTAGAGATCTTCTTCAAAAGCTTAATTTTTCCTTCACTTTCTCTCTCCCCACAGCCCTAATTCTCCAAACAGCCTCACAATATGTCACAAAGCCATTCCCTCCCCTTCCTCCTTCTCTGGTTGACCCCATAGTTTGGGACACATCCAATCCCACTCTGGCTACACATGCCACGCCTGTTTTGATCCATCTCAGGAATCCCTCAACTTTTCCCTGTGTTCCCCAATACCCCATAGCCCCCCAACATTTAAGGGGACTTAAACCCATAATTAAGCGGCTTTTAGACAACGGTTTTCTTAAACCTACCCAATCACCCCACAGTACTCCCATTCTCCCAGTACTTAAGGCTGATGGGTTTTATCGCCTGGTACAGGACCTTAGGGTAATTAACAGTGCTGTTACCCCCACTCACCCAGTGGTGCCAAATCCTTATACCATGCTCTCTCATATCCCTCCCTCCACCACTCACTTTACAGTTATAGATCTTAAAAATGCCTTCTTCACTATCTCCCTACACCCTGATTGCCAAACCTCTTTGTGTTTACATGGACTGACCCAGACACTCTCAGTTCTCAACAACTTACTTGGACAGTGCTCCCCCAAGGGTTCAGAGATAGTCCCCACTTCTTTAGTCAGGCTCTCGCTACTGACCTCACAGAACTTGATGTCAAACCTAGTGTTCTCCTTCAATATATAGACGACCTTCTATTATGTTCTCCATCCCATATGTTAGCCATACACCACTCAGCCAGTCTTCTTAATTTCTTTGCTAGTCATGGATACAGGGTCTCTCCTGCTAAAGCCCAGATAGCTTCCCCAAAAGTCAAATACCAAGGTCTCGCTCTCACCCCCACTACTCGCTCCATCACCTCAGATTGTAAGGCAATTCTTCGTGATCTCCAGGTGCCCACAACTAAACAGCAGGTTACATCTTTCCTAGGTCTAGCTAATTTCTTTCATCTCTGGATTCCTAACTTGCAGCCCTAGCTCAACCCCTTTACAAGGCCGCTAAGGGTCCCTTATCAGAACCCCTGGACCCTACTAGGCCCATACATGCCTCCTTTCATAAATTAAAAGAGGCTCTCCTAAAAGCTCCAGCTCTTACCCTTCCTGATCCCACCCAACCTTTCATCCTATACACTACCTTTCAGGGCCACAATGCTATAGGTGTACTAGGACACAAAAAGGGACCTTATTTTCAAGCAGTAGCTTACTTATCAAAACAGTTAGATCACACAGTAAAAGGATGGGCTCCTTGTCTCTGAGCTCTTGTAGCTGCAGCCCTCTTGACACAGGAAGCTAAAAAGTTTACATTAGGGCAATCTATTACAGTACACTCACCTCATCACCTACGTGAGTTTATCTCACATAAGGTGCTCCCTGCCCTAATGACCCCTTCTCGCCTTCAACAGGTACACTTAGCTCTCTCTCAAGACCCTTGCATCTCTATTGCAACTAGTGGTCCTCTAAATATAGCCACCTTACTTCCCACCTCGGAGGGCCACCATCACCATGACTGTATTGAGGTCTTACAGATGACTCCCACCCCTTTCCCTCACATCAGTAGCACACCTCTCTCTTTGGCCTTTGACACATGGTTCATAGATGGCAGTTCAACAAACACAGACAACCAAAAAAAGGCAGGATACGCAATAGTTAACCAGTCAAAAGTTATAGAGGCAAATCTACTGCCACCTGGGACCTCTTCCCAAAGGGCAGAACTTATTGCCCTTACAAGGGCTCTTACACTAGCAAAAGGTAAGATTATAAATACATACACTGACTCAAAGTATACATTTAGCATTTTACACTCTCCTGCCTCTATCTGGCAAAAACGGGGTTTTATTACCACTCAAGGAACCCCCATCATTAATGCTCCCTTTATCCTTAAACTTCTAGAAGCAGCCCAACTTTCAAAGCAGGCAGCAGTTATTCATTGTAGAGGACACCAAAACTCTACAGATCCTATTGCTCAAGGCAATGCCTTTGCAGATTCACAAGCCAAGCTAGCTGCACAAGGGCCCTGCCCTTCTCATCTTCTCCCGTTAGTCCCAAACAGTCTACCTCAGCCTAATTATTCACCAGAGCAGTTACAGCTACTTCATAAATCAGGTTACACACAAAACATTCAGGGATGGATTTTTCAGGGATCTAAACTTGTTCTCCCACATCAACAGGCCTTAGACATCATCGCTGACTTACACAACTGTTTACATATAGGATCACTTGCCCTATCTCCCCCTCCGGAGGAATTTACCTGTGATGCCATCTTCCCGCCCCTGGGAATTTAACTATGGTGCCAAACCTAGGGCCAATGGGCTACCTGTGCATCCCTAATGCCCGCCTTAGGTTCCACCCAAACCGAGGCTACTTACATACTCCCACGCCACGTGTCAGCCGGAGAGATTGCCATCGCCAGCGGTGGGGGTTGCTGGTCATCTCTCTCCGTGTTCTCAGAATAAAGGCTGCTTTTTATTTTATACTTCTCATCTTTTGGAAATATTTTTCATCTTTTGGAAATAATTCTGGCAGGCTGGATACCAGGAGTCCAAACCCCTTTTCAGGAAGCCAAGATATTTCACTGATTTCTCTTCTGCAAAATGAGTACCCAAGGAGTTGGAATGGGAAAAACTAAGATACAAGCACAAGGAACTACTATGGGGCTTCTGAAAGTCTCCCCAGAGTGAGGTGAAGCAGGGAGCTCACGATACAGGATGCAAGTGGGAAGGGGAGCTGGTGAGCTACCTGTTAGACTAGGGACCGCCTAGTGGTGTTTTCTACCAGTCATCTATCAGCTGTGCCAGGCTACACAGTGGGCCAATGAGACTTTTCTGTATCTCAGACTACCAAGGGGCCCAGGTCTACAAACAGATACAAGAAGAAAAGGTCTTTTGGAAAGGGAACTCAGGCAGAGTTCTGGTGTTGACGGAGCCATGGGCTTGGCTATCCAGAAAGCCTGGAGTAGCTCCTGTCTATCCATTTCATAGCAACAGAGACAAGGCCTTTGATGCACGATCCTGGCTACAGGTACTCTCCCTGTTTAGAATGCCTGCACTATGTCAGTTGTCCTGCAAGATGTGTCTCCTATGGTTCACTAGAGGATAGCTTGCAGAGTCTGTGGCCTTGTGGAGAGTTCACAGTTGAACATTTTGGGGAGTTCTGAACAGTTAAACTTAGGGGCATCCACTCTGATTTGTAAACTCACTTGGGGGCCAAGGCTGAGAGGCAGGAGAGATCTTCTTGTGTCCATCTGGTTGAAGAAACTGTAATTTTATTTCCTGCCCTGGGTGTGGGTGGATTTTCCTTTTAGTTATTAAAATGTAAAAACCCCAACTTCTTGTCACTGAAACAAAAAGAGATTTATTAGCCCTAACAAAAAAGGCACTGTGATCATCAGAATGGTTGCCCTTGGTAACAGTCCTGGTGCCTGGGAGTAACTTGCAGATTTTCACCCTGAGGCTTATGGGTTCTTTCTGAGCACAGTGGGGAGGAAGACCAAAGGGCTCAAGCCTTCATTCTATTCATATACAATGCCAGTGTGCCACCAACCAAATCTGAGGTCTGTAAAATATCAGACATATTTTGGTTCTTTTTCTTTGCTTTTGTGTTCTGGGGATTGAACTGAGGGCCTAATCCAAGCTAGCAAGTGCTCTCCCACCAGCAGCTTTGGAAATTTTTCTATGTAGTAGTTCCTGCTACAGCCAGTCTGTACATCTGAACTGAATTTTCAATTGCTAACAAGCAGAAGTAGGAAAGCTGCCCCTGGCTGGGTTTCTGGTGGCAATGTGACTTAGTGTGACCTGGGCTTCTGGTCATAGTGTTTGGACTCCTCATGAAGCCTGGGACAACCAGTTTGTGTTAGTCGTAGGTGCTGGATGGCAGGACCATGCACAATAGACTCCTCTTTATCAGACAGCTGGCTGCCTCAGGTGGAAGGTGGGAAACAGATCTCCTCATCAGGCCTGAGAGCTGTTGAGAGGGGAGCAGCAAAAGCCATTTCTCCTCCTTCCTTACCCCACAGGGAGAGATGAGCACAGGTCCTACACCACTAAACTTCTTACACTGCCTGGCAGTGCTGAACTTAATTCTTTTTTTAATTTTTCTTAATCTTAATTCTAACCCACACAACTGTGGAGGACTCATACCTCCCACTTAGAGCAAGACTGAGCGAACATGCTCAGTTATATATAAGCCAAGTTACTAGAAATATCTGGGGAAAGGCTAAGTTTATAAACTCAAATTCCGTTCTTATCCTACAGTGATTTCACTGCGCCAAAACATTACCGTTAAAGAACAAAATAGCCGGACATAGTGGTGAATGCCTGGAATCCAAGCACTCGGGAAGCTGAGGCACTACTGCTACAAGTTTGAGGCCAGCATCAGCTACATAGCAAGACCCTGTTTCAAAAATCAAAACAACAACAAACAAAAATACATGAAACATGATCACTCTACACTGCAACAAATGAGTCTGTGTAACCCCATTCAGTTCTGCGAAAAAAATGAGGATCTCAGGGGCAGCTGATGAAACTTGAAGCCTCTTTGAATTGCTTTCTCTCTGAGCTTCCTACCAGCTAACACTTACAAGAAACATCTAGAAGACTGGATTTATTTAAATGGAGTCAGGTGGCCTTAAAAATATATGTACAAACCCTGAAAGTTAACTGCCACCAGCCAGCCACTCAGCAGGCTGAGGCAGGAGGATCACTTGGGCCCATGAATATGAATGAGACCAGCTTGTGCAACATAATAGAACTCTGATGGGGTGGTGGTGGAGTTACTCCCCACAAAACCAATGAGATAAGTGAGAAGGAATAGGATTAATTTTTGAAAATTCTCTGTAATCTCACAAGATTAGCCGACTCCCTCCCACTCCATATCTGCATAGATACCTAGAAGGCAACTATCAATCCAGAAAGCTCTCAGTTGGCTGCTTCCCCAGATGAACATCTGGTGGTAGATGTTCATCTCCTTTTAAGTACTGGGGACTGAACCCAGGGGTCTCACATGCTAGACTAAGCAATTGAGGGAATCCATGGTCCCTTTCTATTTAACTTTTGGTTTCCAATATAGGAAATTGAACCCAGAACCTCAGGGCCTTACGTATGCTAAACAAGTGCTCTACTATTTAGCTACATCCCCAGCCCAAATGTTTTTAGAGTTTATTTATTTATCTACTACTTTATTGAGACGGTTTCATTGTGTATAGTCCAAACTGGCCTTGAACTCATTATGTAGTGCAGGCTGGCCCTGAACTCACAGTGATCCTCCTGTCTCAGGCTCCTGAATGCTAGGTTATAGGCATGAGCTCCCATGCCCAGTTTCTGGTTTTAAAATTTATTCTGTGGTGCTAGGGACAGAACCCAGTGCCTCATACACAATAAATACATTCCCTACTACTACTAAGCTAACTCCCCTAGTCTGGTAGCTATTTTCATCTCTATTACTACACTTGATCTTAGCCAAAAGGCTGAGAAACGATTTGCATCTCTTTATTACATTAGATTAGTTTTGTCTATTTTGAGTTTCATGTAAATGGAGTCATATAGTATTCTTTTTTTCCCCCCAAACTGGGGATTAAACCCAGGACTTTTGTACTGAACTACATTCCCAGCACCCTAACCCTTTTAAATTTTGAGGCAGAATGTTGCTAAGTCATCAAGTTACCCAGCCTGGGGTCAAATCCATGATCTCCTACCTCAGGCTCACAGAGTGCTGGGATTATGGCTGTGTACCATTTCCTTTACAAGCAACCTCCCCATACCCTTATATTAATGGGTCAATCCGTATACTTGTCCGCCTTATGCTGCTGCATACGTAAATCCAAATAGAACCTCTTTCAGATGGTATATTTTTTCCTCTTCATGATTTCTTATATATAACTGAGCATGCTGAGATGATACACTATGAGCTGGTAAAGCCAAAAGCTGCTGGCATGAAAAGGGACCAGCAGTCTGGTAACAGTTTTTCTTTTTTTCCCAGGGATTGAACTCAGGACCTTGTACTTGCCAGGCAGGTGCTTATACCATTGAGTTACATCCCCGGCTGGATTGGTAACCCTTAAGCCAGCTAGAAGCCAGAGTGTGACAAAACAATGGAGAACTGGGCACCACTATCTCTGGTGGCCAAAGGAGCTGGCAGCTGTTTGCTCCAAGGATCATGGAAGGCTGCTAACACAGTTGATAGCTGCTGGCATTCAAAACTCAGGGCTGTTATATACAATAAGAGCTACCACTTGCCAGTTCGTAATTTTTGTGTGAACTGAGCAAAAGAACCCTCAGGCGGTATGTATCATATTGGCGGCTATACAGGGACCCTCCCCTTCAGAGGTCCCTGAAGATGACGAAGAACAGGGAATGTCGTCCGCAATGGAGAAGTGACTGAAGAACTTGCCCACGTCTGATTTCCATCCTACATGCAGCTGGAGGCCTATGCTAGCTGGTGACACTTCTCTTAGCTATGTACCTCAGCCCCAGCATGTCTTTTTCTTCCATGAAGTTATCACTTTTGTGTCCTCTGTTTCTATTTCAGGGTCTTGAAAATAGGCTTTTACATTTTTCCTCAGATATGTTTTATAATTTCAGTGTGGAGGTCTTGCACATCTTTCACTGGGTTGCTAGGTTTTTTTTTTGCTGTGTATCCCTGGCTGGCCTCAAACTCCCTGCCACTCTCTTTCTTCAACCTCCTGAATGCTAGGATTACAGGCATGTGCCACCATGCCCAGCGAGGTATAGGCTTCTGATGGGGTATTACTATAAGTGGTAATGCTTTAATTTTTCATTTTCAAATTACTTGAATAAGCGGGTTGTGTATTTGGATAACTCACTTAATAGTGGTAGTTTGTATATATAGATTTTACTCATACCTACTAGGTTGTCTGTTTTCTCTTTTTTTTAAAGGCAGTCTCACTATGTAGTTCAAACTGGCCTTGAACTCACCATGTAACCCAGGCTAGCCTTGAACTTATGGCAACCCTCCTGCTTCAGTCTACTGAGTGCTGGCACTACAGGTGTGCACCACCATGCCTGATCTCTCCCAATCTTTGTATCTTTACTTTTCATACCTTAATGCAAAAGGGTAGAACTGCCAGACAATGCTGCATATAGGTAGTAACACTTGATGTGCTTAACTTCAATCTCAAGGGCAAAGAATGTAATGTTACCTCTAAAGTTTTATTGTGTATGTGTGTAGTGCTGGGGACTGTATTTAGGGCCTTCTGCATGCTAGGCAAATGTTGAACCACTAAGCAAATTCCTACTCCCAAATTTGTTTTTTCTTTCTTTCTTTTTTTAAAATTCTCTTATTCTTAGAGACATGGTTTCTTACTGAACCAGGCTGTGCTCAGACTTGAAATCCTCCTGTC